GATACTGTCGATAATTACACAGCTGCAGAGGACCAGCCCCCACCTTTTCCACTGGGAACTGAAGTAGGTTGTTAATTCAAGGAAGCACAACTTGCCATGTTAGGAGTACAGTTCATGCTTTGTGTTGCTTTTGTTTGATACTGTAGGCTCAGTTTAATTTATTAAGTTCAAGAAATATGATTGTGATGGTGACATGAAATATACTGCTCAAAAGAAGTGAAAGTGCACCCTTTTCTTTCATTTTACAATTCTCTCTTTCTCTCTCTCTCTCTGTTTCTCTCTCTGTCTCCATCTCTGTGTCTCTGTCTCTGTGTGTGTGTGTCTCTCTCTGTGTCTCTGTGTGTGTGTGTCTCTCTCTCTCTGTCTCTCTGTGTGTGTGTGTCTCTCTCTGTGTCTGTGTGTGTGTGTGTCTCTCTCTCTGTGTCTCTCTGTGTGTGTGTGTCTCTCTCTGTGTCTCTGTGTGTGTGTGTGTCTCTCTCTGTGTCTCTCTGTGTGTGTCTCTCTCTGCGTGTGTGTGTCTCTCTCTGTGTCTCTGTGTGTGTGTGTCTCTCTCTCTCTCTGTGTCTCTCTGTGTGTGTCTCTCTCTGTGTGTGTGTCTCTCTCTCTCTGTGTCTCTCTCTGTCACTCGCTGTCTCTCTGTCTCTCTCTCCCTCTATCCCTCTCTCTCTCTCTCTCTCTCCCTCTCTCTCTCTCCCTCTCTCAAAATCTGATCATATTTGGTGTAAAATGGTAAAAAGTTCCAAACATGATGGTAACCTGAATACATTCCACAAAAACAAAAAAACCATCCAATTTCTGTAAATATATCGGAATCCTGCAATCTCCAGTTTCAAAAACTATAAATTGTTGTAGAAACACAATAGGGCCTGTGATGTAGGGAGATGAATGCTATCAGGGAAATGCATGGAACAGGAATGAATGTACTGCCTGCTGACACATGGCTTCCATTAGCTGTAGTGAGAAGCCGCACCAGTAGAACACAGTCTCCGCACCAGCCAGCTATGCTGATGCATGATGGGAAGGGTGGGATGCACATTCTTCTCGCCAGTTCTTTTCCAAATCCTTCTACTCAGGAGAGGGAGCTGTGAGACAGTGAATATCAAAATTATGGATGTATCGAGTTGCTTGGTTGAACTTTACAAGATATAGTAGAATTAGGGCGCGTGTTTACAAGACATTTTAAAAACTTTGTTTTTTCTTATTGATGATGTTTGGTTCTTTTATTTTTATATGGGGTACTGAAGTTTTGGAGGTCTGAATGTTAATAAGTGGGAAAGTGTTTTGAATGTGGAAAGAGTTAGTACTGCAAACTTTAAAACACGCAAGCATCTTTTTTGTAGATGATTCTTTTTGACAGGATTGAAAAACTATTTCTTGGATTGATTTTATCAATTAAGTGGGGGTTTTTAAATTGAGAAAAAAACTTTTTATTTTATCTCTTGTTATTTTGCGTTACTCGTCCTATTATTTTTATGTTCAGAGTTGTGTCCCTTGGGGATGCCAGAAACCTGTGATTGTGGGTTTGAATCCCGGTTCGCCACGATTACGTTTCTCGGTTTGTCAGCACAATACCCGTGAATTTGCCAAAGTGGTAAACATCTGAGACCTGCATCACCTCGGGCTTTCCTCCCATTAAGTTGATACTGTTCAAATCAGCATTGAACCCAACTCAATCACTCACTTGTTATTTTTTTGCTTGTGATGTCAGAACAAAATTGTGCGAAAGCTTAGTATAGGATTCTGCATCAAAATTATTACCTGTACATATGTGCACAGTCTGGCCAAATGTCACTTGTGTGAAAATATCTGTGGTCACATTTAGCATGGTCAGTTTTAATTACTGGATGGATGTACAATTAAAAACTTTAAAAAACTGAAGGCTCTCTTCGAAAACTGCTTGTTGAACGACTGATTCTGATAACCCTGCAGGATACTCCAACCATTGAAGATGGTTTACGCATCAGAATCAGTGCCAGTTTCAGCTTAATTTGAAAGTAATTGGAAATTTAATAACTGGAATGAACTCACCTTTGGCGATTGGTTGTTAAGACTATGTCCATCAATCAATCATTTAAAATCAAATGTTAAATCTGAAATATATATTTGTGTTCAATAATTTACAATTAAATTTAATTTAATGGGCGATTCATTTTGGCGTAATGGTTGGATAACTTGAATCAAGTGCGATTAAATAATACTTACGATATCGAATCTGTGATGATTGTTCAATTACTTAAGAGAGCAGGAAAAAGATGCTTTTCATTACAACAGAAAAGATAGTTATCTTTTTGATAGTTAAAAATGCATGGATTTTAGGTTTGAAAAGATTGGGATTCATTGATCTTTAACTGGGCACTGATTGTGTGTCCTGGAAAACACCCGGAAGCCATTGATGTGTCCGCCTTCAATAAACTTTCTGATTTATTTAAAAAGTTTGGACACAATAATATTGGAAATGTTGAGAGGATGTTTGTCCTGTGATGTTGCTAGGTTTCCAAGATGTTATCTAGTGAAAGGTGGCCCTGGTGAAAGATGGAGTTAAGACTGTGCATCCTGCGTAGAATTGACTCTCGCCCCAAATAATATGATTATCTGAGGAATATGCATGCATAGGCCTTTAGGTTATAGACAGATCAGATACAGGTTCTGTTTACTGGTCATTTATTACGGGGGGGGGGGGGGGGGGTTTGATGCACCAAGGTACTGAAAACAATCACCTTGTCATATTGTCATATTTATTAATAACCTCACTCATATTACAATTTCTTTCTCTGTCTCACTCACTCATCCATTCATTTAAACATGCCAATCTTGGCAGCAAGGAAAACACTCCGATTCCAATAGCAATTATATTGACCATTTTGAAAATAATAATAGGAAAATATTGTCAGAGTGCTGTGATAGATTCACATCATCAGATCATATTTAAAGAAATGGATTCACAAACAAACCCCGGAAAGAAATTGTAAACTATTAATTATGTTTTCATGTCAGTTTCAACCTTTCCCAGCAAAGAAAACACCAAAAATAACGTCCAATTAACCGCTCGATAAACACCATCAATAACTGTACAACTGCAAGCGGAACTTTTACCTAATAATATTCCGGAACCGCTATAGAATATGTTCGCCACTATTTTTATTCAAGGATTCAAGGCTAATAATAGATTTGGGGGTAACCTGCCAAGACCATAACACAGCTAACCCAAAGGATTGAAGTATATATGTATTTTCTGATATTAAATATTTTTTTTGAGCTCTGCCAATATCCAGTTTTTATGGTACCATTGGGTGGCCATCAGGCTCTACCACTACACCTCAACCCTACGCGTTTAAACCAGTCACGTTGTATGCACGTATTGATTCCCTTCAGCTAAGCAATAATAACATGTCATTTATCGCTATCCATGAATCAATTCTTTCTTCAGAGGAACCTATATTTGTCACTTTCCTTGGAGCCCCTGTGTCAGGCTATACATTGGCCATACATTGCTGTAAAGGCATACACAAACAGTTGTCGTGGTACTGGTAGACGACTTGGCTTCCATACTTGTCACCAGCTATATGGAACTTAGTGAAGGTGTGGATGGGAGTTTCCTTTCTGTGGAGTTGGTGTTTGATTCGAGTCAGGCTCAAAGTGGTTGGTGTTGTGTGCTGTTGTTGCAATTGTTGTCAATGACTGTGTGTCTATTTTTGCATGACAGCTGTGTGACAGTTTTTGTTTCAGAGACAAGCTGTCATGGGTTTTGAGATTTTTTTATGAAAGTGTTCAAATTGATGATACAGCCATTTAGTTAGAAAGGACAGATGTAAATATACTGTGTTCATCTTCTCCATTGGTGTTGACACAAGCTGTCATAAAGATTTTGAGTTTGTTATTTTAGCAATATTCCAGCAATATCATGGCTAGGGCTGGGACGGGTAACTCGGGTACTCGGGTCGGGTGGGTACTGAGTAGGACCCGGGTACCCATATAGTCATGTGATATATTGTTTAATAGAACTCTATGGTTACAGTACAAGTCACTAATGTTCGCACTTCTTTCTGACTAAGCACCATTGATTCTGACCTTTAAAGGTTTGAATAAAAATAACACTTCAGTCAACCTTAGTGTATGCATGACCAGATCGTTTTATACATACATTTTACCAGGGCTACGCTCAAACTATTTCCAATCGGACATTTTGTACCAAACTCTTGAGACCTGTAAGGGGTCCGGGTAGGGTCAGGTTATAGCAGAGTGGGTATCCGGGTCGTAAATTTGGACTCGTATTGTATGATATTGCTGGACTAGTGAAGACAAGGGCATAATTACATGTGGCTCAGTGTCTAACTCTTGTTGAATGAGTAAAGGTGAATTTTCAGAGAAGTTTCTCAGCACTTAATCTTATAATCGTCAAACTTTCAACAACAACAACAACAACAACAAAAATGGGAATTTGCATGAATATTTTCCTGATGTATCACAGGGTTCAGAATTAGGGGTGTCCTGGGGACCTTGAGGGTTGCTCCTATGGTACTTCAATCTAGGGAATCTAGATTTGTACCTTTTGACATTGCATATGACAAGGACCTACTGTCTTTCCTGCATAAGAGGCTTGAGTTTTGCACACTAACAATTCTGTTGTGTGGAGTATAGCGTGTCAGACCAGAGAGAAGAACGTCAGTGGTTTGATTACCTGCCCGCGTCATACCAAAAGACGTTAAAAAGATGGTACTTGTTGTTACCTTGCCTTGTGTCAGCATTAGGGGCTAAAACAAGGACTGGTCGGCCCCGGAGTCTGTGTACTGCATCCAGATGGGCCATCCATGTACAGTGTCTGGACTAGTACAAGTAGCCACACGCACACAATGCATACAAATTGCTATACAAGTGAAATAATCTTGAATGCGGTAAAACATCATTTGACCTCAACTTAACTTTGAACGTTGTGTCTTTTATTTGAATAAAGAATGTGTTAAATTAATCATGTCACTTATGATTGTTCTTCTGTGTTGCAGGTAAACAAAGCCAACATCATCACCATCATTTCAAGTAGAATCACAAGCCCAAGGCAGTAGCAGCACGTCTCTGTAGTCCCGATCCCCCTGACTCCAGTATGGGAAACTTCTGTTCCATGGGGGCCTCAAGGCAGGCCAAGAAAGAGGCCATGGAAGACGGCAGCATGTACGAGAAGAAGAAACCAGAGGAGCCAACTGCAGATGCCGCTCAGAGCGACACCACGAAACCATCGATCGTCATTAGCGACGATCAGTCCTCGAAACCTGCTGAAAGTGGAGGCTTCTTGTCCGGAGCTACCGACCTTATTTCTAACACTGGTAGCCAGCTAAAGGACATGGCTGAGAAGGAGATTGATGAGAAGAAGAAGGAGGCTGAGGCTAAGACAGAGGAGGTGAAGGAGACAGTCTCTACCAAGGTTGAGGAGGTTAAGGAGACAGTTGTTGCAAAGGCTGGGGAGATTGGTCAGAATTTATCATCAGGATTCTCCAGTGCTGTTGGTGGGGTCAAGAGCAGTGTGGATGACAAGGTGAAGGAAGCTGAGGAGGCCAAGAAGAAAACGGAGGATTCCATCGCCTCAAAGAAGGAAGATGCTTCCACCGGCATCTCTGGAACAGTGGCAGGAATTGGCAAGACAGTTGATTCCACAAAAGATGCCGCTGCAGCCAAAATTGCTGACACAAAAGAAAGTGTTGATGGTAAAGTTAAGGAAGCACAAGATTCAGCAAATAAAGCTGCTGATTCTGCCAAAGCTGCAGCCTTAGCTGCCAAAGAGTCTGCTGAAAGCAAGGTTGCTTCGGCCAAGGAGCAGGTTGAGAGTGAAGCAGACAAGGCAGCCAAGAGTGTCAGTGATAGTGTTGACTCTGCTAAGAAATCAGCAGAAAGCACAGTTACATCTGCCAAGGAACAAGTGGAGTCAGAAGCAAACAAGGCTGCCCAGAGTGTCCGTGACACAGCTGATTCCGCCAAGGCATCCGCTGTGGCTGCTAAAGAGTCCGCTGAGCAGCAGGCAGAGCAAGCTGCAGCGGATGTTGGCAACAAGGTTGAGTCTGTAAAGGCAGATGCTGAAGCCAAGAAAGAGGAACTCGAAGCATCAGTATCTGCAGCAGCAGCTGATGCCAAGAGCAAGGTCGATTCAGCAGCTGAGGAGGCTATGTCCAAGAAAGATGAAGTTGTTGCTGGAATCTCAGCTACAGCTGATGATATTAAGGAGAAAGCTGAGACAGCTAAAACAGCTGCTGCAGCAGAAATTGAAAATAAGAAACAGGAGGCAGAGGCTGGTATTTCTTCAGCTGTCACACAGGCTGAAACTGCAGCACAGTCAGCCAAGGACACAGTGGAATCAGAGGCACAGAAAGCGAAGGAAGAGCTGGAGAAGAAGAAACAAGAGGTTGAGGCTGGTTTGGCTGCTGCTACAGCCGAAGCCTGCTCTGCTGCTGAATCGGCCAAGGATACTGTTGTCAGTGCAAAGGATAGCGTCGTCACTGGAGTAACTGAAAAAGCAAGCCAAGTAGAGGCAGGAGTCACAGAAGCTAAAGAATCAGCTGAAAAGAAAGTTGATGAGGTTAGCAAAGAGGGAGAGGAAATGAAAGCAGGAGCTGTAGCAGCTGTTGTCGGATTAGGGGGAAGCATGGCTGCAACGAAGGATGCTGTAACTGATGAAGTCAATACTCAGAGTGAGAACGTCAAGGAAGCTGCTGGGAGTGTGGAGGCTGAGCTTGCTGCCCAGAAGGAGAATGTGGAGTCTGTTGTGGGTGATGCAGCTCAGACAGTAGAGGAGGGATTGGATAAGGCCAGTAGTGAGGCAAGCGCTGTTGGTGGGGAGATTCAATCAGGGTTGGTGGCGGCTGCAACAGAGACTGGTGATGCTGTTGCGAAACAGGCTGCTTCCACTGGGGAGGAGGTGAAAGCTAAGGTGACAGATGCTTCTGAGAGCGCCGAGGACAAGCTTGTTGAAGGAGTGGATTCTGGTGCTAAGAATGTTGCTGTAGGAGGTATGGACTTGCTTGGTGAGATTGAAGCCAGTTTAGAAACAGGGGAGAAGGATTTGTCCAAAGAAGTTGATGATATTCTTGGTTCTGTGGATGAATCGATCACATCAGGGGAGACTCAGGCCGATTCTCTGATTGGTGACATCACTCCTCTCACAGCTTCTGTAACATCTCAACAAACAGAATCTTCCATTCCTAGCGGATCAGATGCTGTCACCTCGCCTGAAGCCTGTGTCGAAAATCGTGAGCAGTTTGCAGATGACATCAAACCAAAACAAATATCGGTCACACGCAACTCTGACTCGACAGTCACAACAAGAGACATTATCTCCAACACTGTTGCCGTAATCCCAGACTCCCCAGTCAAAGATCAGAAACCTCAGGAATCAGATGGCACTGGTGTTGGTGGTCTCCTGTCTGGTTTCACTGAAACGGTTAAAACCGGGATCACTGACTCTGCACAGAAAGTCACAGATCTGCTTGACAGTGCTGTTGATTCCTTCGGTAAATCTGACAAACCCGAGTCATCAGAAGAACAGCCAGCCACAGATGCACCAACTGCTGAATCAGAAGATGAAACGGTGAAAAGAATTGCTGCTGAAGTAACTGCCCAAGCAGTTCAGCAAGCTCTAGAAGTAGTGGCAGCTGAAGAGGCAAATAATAATGTAGCAGCACCTGAATCTAACCCGGATGAGGCCCCTGTTGATGTTCTTAACTCGGAGGATGCTAAGCCTAGTACTGCCCCTAATGACACTTCCATAGTGAATGCCCCTAATCAAAGTGAGAATGCTGACGTGGAGGTCCAATCTGCTGAGTCCAATTCCAACCAAGATGCTTCTCCAGCTCCTGCTCCAGTGAACGGCAGTGTTGAGGGGGCTGCCGTGACGGACTCAGACAGGCAGGCCGACTGTTCAGACTGTTCGACAAGCCAAAACACTGAGATTCAAAAGGAAGCTATGATCTAATATGTGTGTAGTGACCACTGTACATGTGTAAATTCTTCTACAACTATTTACAAACATACCACGAGGATGGACACAAGTTCACTCCCACCTGGTACTGTGCCTTCTCGTTACAATCGTCTTGTGTAGCATACAGAGGCTATTTTTCAAAAAATGGATTTTGAAACGTGATATGTGATCTGTTATCAGTGTAAACATATCGAATGTGCTCCTTGCAGCACAGGAATTATCTTATCAGGATCTAGTTTGCATGAACCTGGATTCTGTGTTGTCATGGAAACTGGTGGATACTTATCGGAGTGATGCTGCTATGAGTGTGTGAGATGAGATGGTGATCCATGTGGAATGTATTGATTTGATTACTGGAGAAATAGGAGCTTTGAACGGGGGTAATTGAATTACTCAAATTAGAAGCTTTGACAGAAAGTTTATACAAGGGTAATGGATGAGACCTGTGGATTTCTTATTGGCTCGTTATTACAGTGCTTCTCTTTGATTCCACGGAAAGCTTGACCTGAGTTCAGATAGATTATTTACGTAGAAATTTCATTCAAATATTTTCACTGCCATAAGATTTATCAAAGCCACACAAAACTGACAGGATTAAAACATATTTTGATTGTGGACTGGCATTAATATGTATGCGCAAGTAATGGTACTGTGACGTTTGTGGTCGCCCACTACACACCTGGCAGTGTTCGAAATCATGTTTGAATGTTTTGAAAGGTTCCTTGTCCAAATCCTAAAGTAGGGAGTTAAAAAATCAGGGGATTTTAGATACAAGTACTATAAAATCAGTGAGGTTTGAGTGGTTAAATTGTTGGCTTGTCGTACCAAAAGCCTGGGTTTGATATTTCTATTGCTAAAACCAGTGAAAAGCCGAACTCACTAATGCAAAAGGCCTCTATGAACCATTCATCCCCCTTACTTTCGAACACTGCCTTGTCAAAGATGAGGCTAGACTTGCTGGTTTACGGATTTTTGGCGCCAAAGTTCGGTGGGTGGGTAATTACATTATAAAAAACATAATTCCAATTTCAATTTTTTAGCTTTTTTTCCCTCTCGCGATTCTTCATAATTTGATGTATTTTTTATTTTTTTTAAGATATATGTTCAACTGGTTTTAGTCATGGTTTTTTAATAATTTATTTAATGAGGTGGGCGTTTTAACAATTTTACTTATTTCTGGTCGGTAGAATAAAAAACCCACTGCTTGTCATTTTTCAATTTTTTTGAGTTGGCGGATTCGTAAACCACATTGTAAAAGAGCCTGGCCTTATATTCGTTCACGACAACAACGAAAAGGTTACTGTACCAATGAAGTTATCATCAAACTGAACTCTGTAGAATGAGATGACTATTCTTCTCGACACGTTGTTCAAGCATAATGACTAAGGATAAAGAAGCAGCTACGCACAGGATCTACAGTGGTCAGTCATAATGCATCTCTGATTGAAGGAATTGGTCAGACATGTTTGTACCATAGAGTATGTTCCATAGATAGCTGCCAGTAGGTTTGATATAACTTATTTATCATGAGCTAATCACTTAGGTGAAATAAATGCATATCATATGGTTCGTATATTTATATATGTTCATCAAGTAGTCCCTATAATAACATTCATATATGGAATGAAAATCCAAACTGTCCTGATAATGATTGAAATCCATTGTCGTTGAATTCCAAACTTGTCTCATGTTAAAGTTGAACGCAGTCAAACACGTTATCTCGAATACAGCAAGACCAGTTTGCCACTTTGAGATATCTGTACATTGGAGGTAAGGGACCGATAATTGATACTCTGTGTGTGTTGGGGGGGGGGGGACTGCGATTTTGTGTTGTTATTTTTTTAGTTAAAACTATAAGCCAAAATAGTTTTTTGTCTAAAAGACACATCGGGAACAATTTCATATTTGTGGCCTACATTTTTTTTTATCCAACATTATGAAGCATAATTATTTTTTTAAAGATTTTCAGGGACAATTTACTTTTTTCAATAAAATCCCAGCCCCCCTCACCTCCAGAATATCAAATGCTCGGCCCTTAGCGAGGTTCAAGGTAACAGGGTTCGACTACATGCTTTGAGTAATATTTGATCCCCTTATTTATTCATCTTGGCTTTCACCATTTTGCAATTTGAAAGTTGTTTATTATTATTAAATTCTACCTGAATGTTTGGAAAGATATCCTTACAATTCATAAAAATGTCAAATTAAGACAAAAATAATGTAAAAATCTAAATATATTTTCATTCGTAAAATTGGTTATGTTAGTTTTTTCATGACAGCACATGTTCATGATTTTTATTTTTTCTATATTCCTAACAACTACTAACAATGATGGCATGTGTAGCCGTAATTAACTTCCCACATCAAAGCTGAACTCGACCTAATCATCTTCTCATCACAAAGTTCTTTAAACCTTTTCATAAATATGCTTTTTCTTCAATGTCCTTTTTGAATACTCCACGTTTTTGCATTTATTTATTTTTCTATCATGGACATGTTTGTCTTTAGGGAAATGTCCCCAAAATCTCGATGACCCTTGCACACATATCAGATTTGTTGTATACTACTCAAAAGAAGTTAAGGATCACTCAATGACAGATAGGATGGATTGACTGTTGACGTATTATTTTAACAAAGTTGGATGCAGTAAGGAGACATTTCCTGTAAATTCAAGAACACATGACACCAGCATCTTCAGAATCAAATCAGCTCAATACCATAGGGAAGGTAGTCTGTCTATAAAAGTGTAAAGATAAAGACCTTTTAAATTTTTTAAAAATGTTTAACCTCTTTGTAGAATTATTTTGGTAGTGATCTCAACCAAATATTTGCCAAAACACTAATAGATGAAAAAATATTTCTTGGAATGAAATGCCAAAAGTATACTTCCTTTCTGTATAGCCTGACTTTGAAGCTTTCTCGATTAATGAAATAAGATTACTGGGAAGAGTTAAAAAAAAGTATTTTCTCAAAATCATGATTTTATATCACAATACTTGTTGATTTGAAAACAATTATATAAATAAGGAAGAGAATTTATGGATGCATAAATGTTTTGTCAGGGAACTGATAGATAGTACAGACATGTGAGACTGTCGCTGCGAACTATTAGACTGCAGCGGCAATTTCCATTGCATGATGGGTACATATATACCGTATTTCCTGTATTAAGACGCCCAGGCTTCTATTTATTATGGACAAGCCTTTGACCCGGCATCTATTGGAGGCCCGGCATCTATTGGAGGCCCGGCATCTACTGGAGGCCCGGTGTCAATTAGAGGCCCGGTGTCTATTGGAGGCCCGGCTTCTATTAATACCCCCATTTCACTATGACCACGAATTTAGGTCCCAAAATGGGATAATTAATTGTATCAGTTGATCGATCCGACGTCTATTAGAGGCCCGGCTTCTTTTTTTTGCACTGAACAATTGACCTGGCTTCTATTAGAGGCTGGCATCTACTAGAGGTCCGGCGTCTAATAGAGGAAATATGGTAGTCTTAATGCATGTTTTTACATGTTAAACAGTACTTGTGGAGACTAAGATATCAAGAGTGTGTCCCCTAGCTATGACTCAACCACAGTGCACTTATCTCCCCTTCTTGCCACCATAACATACATGATCAGGGACCTGCTTTTAAGAATGCCAGCCATTATGATGTATATCTATCATTTCTGGTATTTTTTACACCTTTTTATACTGGCAGAAGTTCGTTCCATGCTGTCATTGATGCTAGTTCAGAATAGCTGTGTCAGCATATTCAATATTTTAGGAAGTCAATATGTTGAGAATTTGATGGAGTGAGCGCCAGAAAAGAACTTGATGCATAGTCCTTCTAAAGGGGTGGGTAATTATTGAGTTTGATGTGAATGATTTATGTACCGCTGTACAGCATTGGCAGCCTGTTATATACTTAGGGACCAGTATTTATTATATATTTGAGTGGAGGCAGATGAAATCAAGGGTAGATCACCAAAAGCTATGTCAGTCTCAAGGGGGGCATACAAAATTATACACCTTTTTGGGGAGATACAGGAAAATAATGTATAAGGACATGGGGAGGGTCATCCAAAAATATGACAAGGGAACATTTGAGAGTAATTATTTTCAGTATACTAGTGTATCAAAGACATCTGACCCACCCCCTGTAATAAATGGACTGTCCCTTGGTACAAGTTAGAATTTCTTTGATTTGAAAATCATTTCTCAACTTTGTTGCCATGAAAACAAATATGTTCAAAATATGAAATGGCTGTGAAAAAAGAAGGCAAACTTATAAGGCCAGTCATCTGTTGGTATGTTGGCACGGGTGGCGTAGTCGGCTAAGGCACACGATTCACTGTGCAGAGTTGCGTCCCTTGGGCACGCCAGAAACCTATGATTGTGGGTTCGAATCCAGGTTCGCCCCGATTATGTTTCTAGGTTTGTCAGCACCATACCCGTGCTCGTGGGTTTCACCGAAGTGGTAAACATCTGAGATCTGCATCACTTCGGGCTTTCCTCCCACATTAAGCTGACACACTGTGATATAACAGGAATACTGTTAAAAGCAGTGTTAAACCCAACTCACTCTCTCTCTCTCCAACATCATGCTCGTATGCCATGGTATAACTGAAATACTGTTCAAAGTGACGTCAAACCTAACTCATTCACTCCCTCTTTCTGCATGAGTATGCCTTGCTTCAAATGGTTGGTATAAATAGACAATGTTGGAAATTCAGAATAAAAATCAAAGAATCCTTTACCCTGGTGATGAATATCAGGGGTTAAAGCTTCCAAAACCTTTTGCAGAAAACCTCAAAGATCACTCAGTCTTCATCACTGAATGGTGATTCTCTGTAACCCTCCAAGCATCTCGGCCTTGATTCCTCACAAACCATTGTAAGCCTGAGAATTCTCTGATTGATTTAATTGCTACCAGAGCCAACTCGATGTTTATGCCGTGGGTTATACGATTGGCAGTTCGTTAAAGACTTGTGTAAACCAATCATGCAGCTTGCTTGGGGGTAAAGTATCAAAAGTGTTCTCACAATAACTTCTGATGTCAGAACTCGGTATACAAGAAATGAGGACTGATTGAAAATGTTTGTTTTGGAATCACCGATACGTTATCAGGTCGGGAGGTTGTATGATGAGAACCTGTTAATAGTGTTTGGTTCTGAAGATAGTTTTCCTACATCTGTGGTATGTATGGCAGTGTCATTATAAGTGAGATAGGGTTAAAGTATTTGTATTGAAGAATCTGGATTGAGTTTGACTCAAATCTGAAAAATAAGTTTTGATTAAGTCAATATAATTTGCTTCTAAAACTGTTGGTATCTTTCTGTGGGGATTTAGAGACCTAGTATAATTGATTGTCTGGAAATTGACAGTAATTGTTGATACATTATCTATTTGACAACTGATTTCCACATCCTACAGGGTTAAAATGGACTGAGGTTCACAACAGCAGGCTGTGCTGGTGTAAGTTCACAACAGCAGGCTGTGCCAGTGTAAGTTCACAACAGAAGGCTGTGCTGGTGTAAGTTCACAACAGCAGGCTGTGCTGGTGTAAGTTCACAACAGCAGGCTGTGCTAGTGTAAGTTCACAACAGCAGGCTCTGCTAGTGTAAGTTCACAACAGCAGGCTGTGCTAGTGTAAGTTCACAACAGCAGGCTCTGCTAGTGTAAGTTCACAACAGCAGGCTGTGCTAGTGTAAGTTCACAACAGCAGGCTCTGCTAGTGTAAGTTCCCAACAGCAGGCTGTGATAGTGTAAGTTCATACCTGTTTCAATATCCTCACTCAAAGACATGGGTCCTTTGGGGCATTTCCATCCTCTTTCAATGATTCTCAGATAATTACCAATAGAGTCCAATACAACATCCAACCCACAACTTGAGCCTGTAGACTGACTGACAGCAGTAAGAGACAGCGACACTTTCACAAGTTGTAAGTGTCAAGTTCAATAGGCGTGATTCTGCAGTGATGGCAGTAGACAGCTTGCAGCTTGCTTCATTGTCCATATCTTCCAGCTGTTACATTTTGTTTGCCGTAGGCACTGTAAGTCTTTGAATTAATTCAACCTTGATGCTAGTAACGGTACTATATTAGGGCACTTTTGATTTAAAAAAAATAAAATTCTTTGTTCCAAGAAATTAAAATTATTTTGTAACTCAGGTTTTAAAATAAAAATTGAGTCGATCATCCGACATGCTGGATGTTCAGAAAGAAATATACTTTTTGGCTGCTCTTTTGAAAGAGTTTTTTTTGTCGTGAAGCCATGATTAAAAGACGTGTCTCTAAAAGCAGTGTAAAAACCAACGCTTTCATCCTGCTGAAAACACTTATTCCACCTGTCATACTGTACTTATGACACCTGAGAAAAATGTAATTATTTTTTTTCAATGACTTATTGTGTTTCTCCCACAAGAAAGAACAGATCAGTGAATTTGAAATCAGGTGTCAAGTGTCTAATTGCATCTGGTGTTGAAACCTGAATTGGCTGCAGTGTTTAGAATCATATGTTTAAAGAGATTACCGTATTACCTCTAATATATTCGGCGGTATTTAGAGACCCACTACCAACGATGTTGCTTGCATAAGTTGCAGTGGCTGATAAAGCGACATGCAGTAAAATTTTACGTTCTTGACACAGAAATTATTTCTAGGTAGAGAGCAAACCTGAACATACTAATATGAAATTGCGAGTATAAACCTTTGCGTGTAGAACTACAAAATTGATATCATACATGCAAAGAACAGGCGTCAGCGCTTATTAGAGGAAATGCGGTATTTAGCCTGAGGAAAGAAGGAATCTCTCAAGAGTAAGTCTCACTGTTTGTTTGTTGAAAGGCAGAACACCACCTGGCATGTTACAATTTTCAAAGACGAGAAAATATTCTAACCTCGTCCACAGTTCTCATGTGGCATTTTATTGAGTCTGAATCACAGAATCAAAGGTTTTAGTGATTTTCTCATCATTTTTGAAGAAACACAATCAATCAGATTCGCTGATTTGTGAATTCCCATGGGAGATGATCTTTAGAAGACGCAGATTGAGTCATTTAGGAACAAAATGGACAAATCGGCACAAATCTTCTGACAGTCTGTCACTCTCAGACATGGATGGCATGAGATTAATTACTGTTTCATCTCGTTTGGATAAAAGAGCATTTCAAATATGGAAAGAAAAATCTTTCCGATTCTTGTATAATTGAGCATCGGGATGAAGACCAAACTGGCAATCTGTAGATGCCGGTCTGGCACCATCATCCCAGTGTTCCTCGATGACTTTGTCTTCAGCTTGTGTGTGCTTCATTTGCAGTGGGTCTGTCAGTGTTCATCAGCTGCTAATTATGTACTATGCTAATTATCTAATTATTTCTTTGCTGACGCCTTCAGCCCAGAGTGGTTATGTAATCGCCTCTCTAGTCACGATAAAATAATCACTTTTCTACCCCTGTGTCTGTTCTTATTTTATTGCATCTTCACAGAGACATTGAGACATGTTCACATCTGCTTGAAACATTGAGACATGTTCACATCTACGTGAGACTTTGAAACATATTCACACCTGTGAGACATTGAGACATGTTCACATCTGCGAGACATTGAGACAAATTCACATCTGTGAGACATTGAGACATATTCATATCTGTGAGACATTGAGACGTATTCATATCTGTTTGAGACATATTCACACCTGTGAGACATTGAGACATGTTCACATCTGTGAGACATTGAGACATATTCACACCTGTGAGACATTGAGACATATTCACACCTGTGAGACATTGAGACATATTCACATCTGTGAGACATTGAGACATATTCACATCTGTGAGACATTGAGACATATTCACATCTGTGAGACATTGAGACATATTCACATCTGTGAGACATTGAGACATATTCACATCTGTGAGACATTGAGACATATTCACACCTGTGAGACATTGAGACATGTTCACATCTGTGAGACATTGAGACGTATTCATATGTTTGAGACATATTCACACCTGTGAGACATTGAGACATGTTCACATCTGTGAGACATTGAGACATATTCACATCTACGTTAGACATTGAGACATATTCACATCTGTGAGACATTGAGACATATTCACATCTATGAGACATTGAGACAAATTCACATCTGTGTGAGACAGATTCACATCTACGTGAGACATTGAGACATATTCACATCTACGTGAGACATTGAGACATATTCATAACTGTTTGAGACATTTTCACATCTGTGTGAGACATTATCACATCTGTGTTAGATATTAAGACATTTTCACACCTGTGTGAGACATTATCACATCTGTGTTAGATATTAAGACATTTTCACACCTGTGTGAGACATTGAGATATGCAGCTACATTTTTTTGTAATGGTAGATATTTTCCAAGAGAGTATGAACAGTGCATAGTATCTTCTGATCTTATAAGAGTGACTTGCCAAGAAAATCTATTTATGAGTCATTTCTTATCAGATTGCCCCATTCGTCTCTGCTCGCCCCTTTCCGTAACCTGCAAGAAGACTTGTACCCCATCGATGAATGTTTTGTACAAAAATACACCAAACCAATCAAAAGGTGCATAGGACTTCATTTACTTCGGTCAAAGTATCCCTCAGGAATATGTTTTTATTTTACTTGTCTTGCATTTAGAAATATGCTCAAGATACAGGTAAATGTGTTCAATTATACTGTATAATACTGTAAGACCCGATTTGTTTTCAATAGCATCTGGAATATATATGATATATGGGGGGAATATACGTCATTCAATACACAATGAGTTGACAGTTCTTTTATCTATGCCCTTTGCGCTTCCATGGAACCCAGTCGCAAAAATGGCCTTGAGCCGGGCGTGAGTTGCTGTTCATGAGTTTGGTAATGAATTTAGATGGTTCCACAACATTTTTACTCCCGTCAAGGAGTAATACCAGTAAATGTTCCACCCGATACAGAGTTATAGTTCAAAGCAGCGTCACTCGCTGAATCCACCCGAGACAGAGGTATAGTTCAAAGCAGTGTGACTCATTCATTCCACCCGATACAGATAAAATGTTAACAGTTACAAATAATTAACCGATCATCAATCAAACCACGTCCTTGACCAATCAGAAAGTCAGAAGTGATGTCCGATCTGCAAGTTTGTCTGACAACTTCAGAACATTTGGACTTTTTATCAAACTGAGAGATGTTATTCAATTTCAGGAAAATGTTTTTTTGTCTATTATTATTCTGTGTAGTGATTATCATATACTGTTCAAGCAAGTTTTGCCTCAGAAAGGTTGCAAGAAGTGTGTGTGTTGGTACTGATACACGTATCCTTAAGGAAATGAATAAGGGAACACTTAGTTTTAGAGACAGTAAATGACATGCCCTCCTTGGTTCCCAGCCCTGTCTACCAAATACATGTTGGAAACAATGCACACAAACACATCGCAACATTTGATTCTTCTGACATGTGTTGAATTTGTATATGTGCTATTTCAAATGTACTGACAGTAAAGCCCTTTTCCCGTTATTTTTCCTTGTTCCCTAATTCCTTTCCAACAGCGACATTAGCGACTTGTAATGTAACCACTGAGCTACAGCGAGATTTTGTTAGTAAACAATATATCCCATGACTTACCACGGGTCCAGGTAGTCCTGTGGGTACCCGGGTCCTACTCAGGACCCACCTGATGCGGGTACCCGAGTTACCCATCCCAGCCCTACTGCATATAGTATGCAGGAGTTTTATACAGTCTCTGCATCAGAAACATATCAAATATCTAGAATATGAACAAGAAAACTCATTATTATGTCTTTAATAAAATGTCAAACAAATTTAATTTACAACAAAATTATTATTCCAAAATGTTTAATCAACACAGACATGTTTAAAACAAGGTGGGTTTCAATTCATTCCATATCACATCTTACACCATGTTTTTGTCTACTATGAGATTACCTCCCTTACATACTGAATTTGATAAACACGGTCTTTCCACAGTAAATGAGTGCAGTAGCCTATTCAGGTCACATGGTCGCTGAGCTGACTGTTGTGGTGAGCCTGACATGTAGGCAGTGTCTCTGTCTGATGATTGGGGTAAACAAATGTCATTCATTTCAGGGTTGAAATATAAGAAAACTGAAAATATCAGAAATATTAACCTGAAGCAGACCAAATATGACGGGGAGGCACGGGTGGCCCAGTCGTCTAAGGCGCCGCGATTCGCTGTGCAGAGTTGCGTCCCTTGGGCACGCCAGAAACCTATGATTGTGGGTTCGAATCCTGGTTCACCCCGATTATGTTTCTAGGTTTGTCAGCACCATACTTGTGCTCTTGGGTTTCCCTGAAGTGGTAAACGTCTGAGACCTGCATCACTTCGGGCTTTCCTCCCACATTAAGCTGACACGCCGCGATATAACTGGAATACTGTTAAAAGCGGCGTTAACCCAACTCACTCACTCACTCACTCACCCAAATATGACATGTCATAAGCAATTGTTTTAAAAAAGAAATGCATGTACTTTCTATTCAGTTACCCATAAGCCCCATATACCTTCTAAAAAACTATTAAAAATGAACCATGTCGAGGAATGACAATAATACCACTTGCCACATTCATTGGTATTATTATAAGGACTGGTGGACTAATAGTTAGTTTCTATCGCTGATATGTCTATTTAAATCATGAATACTTATCCATTGAGTCTTTTCCCCCTCGTCTCATCAAGATCAAGATGTTTTATAGTACTACTGCACCGATAAATATACAATTATACTACACTGTATGGTGCTTCAAATGAACCAGTGCTGAAAAACTGGTCAAAGGGAAGTAACTCTTCAGGGTTTTCTAGCAAAGACTTGATTACAAATTGTAACACATGAGAACACTTTATTGGCAGCCACAATAATATCAAGTTAAATAATTTAGGTTGTCAGATGTGACAAAGTTTGTTAAAAAGTTATTTGCCTATTTATATCCAATTTGTGTTTTTTCTGTAGCAGACGTCCTCATTTCTGAGGATTACAAGTCTTAGTTCTGTAAAATGGAGAAAATGTAGGCTTAGCCTGAGTAGAGTAAAATCTCTATCGTCCAAGGAATTCAGTCACCTGGCAACAGCACCAATATCCAAACACTGACCATTTGATATTCTGGAGGGTTGGGGGGTGGTCGGTGGGCTGGGAATTTATCGAAGAAAATAAATCATCCCCGAAAATGCTTGAATAAAATAATTATGCTTCATACTGTTAAAGAAAAAGAAATTGTCTCCCACAAATATAACATTGTTGCAAAGTGTTCTTCAGTAAAACATATTTAGGCTCATAGCTTTAATAAAAAAAAAATGCCTGCTTTTGCAGCTGTGGTTGCAAAAATATGTAGTCTGCATATAGATTGCCAGCACCACCGCAGAATATCAAATAGTCGGTCCCTTAGCACCCACACCAGTTATTACACACATAAACTCTTGTATACCATCAATGTCAAGGAAGTGTCAACATATGTATACTGTAAAACAAATAGAAGGAACATCACTGACACCAGCAGGTGTGGAAGTTTGCCCAGGGCCAGGGAACACTCCCTCACAATCCACTGTTCAATGGACATGGATTCTTCCAGGGCATGTGCAAATCCTTGTGTCCTAAAACGCTGTGTTCAGGCCAATTTTCTGAAGTTTATTAGCATGAAGTTAGGATGGTTGAATGACACTTTCATGTTGGTTTTAAGTTAAGCTTTCTGCAAGACATATTTGGGGCGGTCGGGTAGCCTAGTGGTTAAGGCGTTAGCTCGTCACGCCGAATACCCGGGTTCGATTCCCGACATGGGTACAATGTGTGAAGCCCATTTCTGGTGTCCCCCGCCGTGATATTGCTGGAATATTGCTAAAAGCGGCGTAAAAAAACATACTCAGTCAGTCAGTCAGCAAGACATATTTACATATTCAAGCCTGTGTGAAGACTGGGGGTCAAGCCCCCAAAATCCTCCAGTGGGAACTCTAAAAATGGCAGCTAAACAACGTATAACCTTTACGAGAACAAATGGCTGGAATATTGCTGAGTGCGCATTTAACAACACAAAAACAACTAGTTTGATATTTTTATGCAAGTTTCAGTGTTTATTTAGGTTATGGTTACTGAATGACATATAGCCTGTGTCATGTTTCATTGTCTCATGACGTTGTTTCTTGTACTTTCAGGTAAGTGATATGCTGTGTGGAGGTACAGTTGGTGGCAGACAGGGAGTGAAGTATTAGCAAGGAGATGTAGTGTCCTCCTGGCTGTCAGGAGTGACAGTTGGTGGCAGACAGGGAGTGAAGTATTAGCAAGGAAATGTAGTGTCCTCCTGGCTGTCAGGAGGTACAGTTGGTGGCAGACAGGGAGTGAAGTATTAGCAAGGAGATGTAGTGTCCTCCTGGCTGTCAGGAGGTACAGTTGGTGGCAGACAGGGAGT